GAAGAGCAAAACAACAGCAAATGCAGTAGAAGGCAAGAAATAATTAAAATCAGAGCTGAAATCAATGAAATGGAAATAAAAGAAACAATTAAAAAAATTGACAAAACTAAAAGTTGGTTCTTTGAAAAAATAAATAAGATCGATAGACCCTTAGCCATGCTAACAAAGAGAGAAAACTCAAATTACTAGCATACAGGATGAAAAAGGCAATATCACAAAAGACACTTCAGAAATACAGAAGATAATTAGAAATTATTTTGAAACCTTATACTCCAATAAAATAGAAGATAGTGAAGGCATTGATAAATTTCTTAAGTCATATGATCTGCCCAGATTGAGTCAGGAGGATATATAGACTGATATCAATGGAGAAAACAGAAGAAGCCATCAAAAGACTACCAACCAAGAAAAGCCCAGGACTGGATGGGTACACAGCAGAGTTTTACAAAACCTTTAAAAAGAACTAATACCAATACTTTTCAAGCTATTTCAGGAAATAGAAAAAGAGGGAGTACTTCTAAATTCACTCTACGAGGCCAACATCACCCTGATTCCTAAATCAGACAAAGACACTTCAAATAAAGAAAACTACAGACCAATATCTAATGAATATAGATGCAAAAATCCTCAATAAAATTCTGGCAAATTGGATACAAAAACAATCAAAAAGATCATGTACCATGATCAAGTAGGATTCATCCCTGGGATGCAAGGCTGGTTCAATATATAGAAATCAATAAATGTAATTCATCACATCAATAGACTTAAATATAAGAACCATATGATCATCTCGATAGATGCAGAAAAAGCATTTGACAAAATACAGCATCCCTTTATGTTCAAAACACTAGAAAAACGAGGAATAACAGGAACGTATCTCAACATTGTAAAGGCTATTTATGCTAAGCCCCAGGCTAGCATCATTCTAAACGGAGAAAAATTGAAGGCATTCCCTCTAAAATCTGGAACAAGGCAGGTATGCCCTCTCTCACCACTTCTATTCAACATAGTTCTCGAAACACTGGCCAGAGCAATTAGACGAAAAAAATTCAAGGCATAAAGATAGGAAAAGAAAAACTTAAATTGGGTCTATTTGCGGATGACATGATCCTATAGCTAGCAGACCCAAAAGGTTCTACCAAAAAACTTCTAGAACTAATAAATGAATTCAGCAAGGTGGCAGGATATAAAATTAACATGCATAAATCAAAGGCATTTCTGTATATCAGTGACAAATACTCTGAAATGGAAATGAGGACAACTACCCCATTCACAATATCCTCAAAAGAAAAACCTTGGAAATCAACCTAACATAGAGGTGAAAGATCTATACAATGAAAACTAAAGAGAACCCTAAAGAGAGAGATAGAAGAAGGCCTTAGAAGATGGAAAGATATACCTTGTTCATGAATAGGTAGAATTAATATCATTAAAATGGCGATATTACCAAAAGTACTCTGTAGGTTTAATGCAATGCCAATCAAAATCCCAATGGTATTCCTCACAGAAATAGAAAAAGCAATCATGAAATTCATCTGGAAAAATAAGAGACCCAGAATAGCTAAAGCAATTCTAAGCAGCAAGAGTAAAACAGGTGGTATAGCCATACCAGATTTTAAACTATACTACAGAGCAATAGTAACAAAATCAGCATGGTACTGGTACCAAAACAGGCGGGTAGACCAATGGTACAGAGACTAATCCACAAAATTACAACTACCTTATATTAGACAAAGGTGCTAAAAGCATGCAATGGAGAAAGGATAGCATCTTTAACAAATGGTGCTGGGAGAACTGGAAATCCGTATGCAACAAAATGAAACTGAATCCCTTTTTTTCACCATGCACAAAAGTTAACTCAAAATGGATCAAGGAGCTTGATATCAAATCAGAGACTCTGTGTCTGATAGAAGAAAAAGTTGGCCCTAATCTCCATCTTGTGGGGTCGGGCTCCAAATTCCTTAATAGGACACCTATAGCACAAGAATCAAGAATCAACAAATGGGACGTATTCAAACTAAAAAGTTTTTTTCTCAGCAAGAGAAATAATATGTGAGGTAAATAGTGAGCCTACATCCTGGGAACAAATTTTTACTCCTCACACTTCAGATAGAGCTCTAGAGTATACAAAGAACTCAAAAAGTTAAACAACAACAACAAAAAACAAATAACCCAATCAACAAATGGGCCAAAGACCTGAACAGACACTTCTCAGAGGAGGATATACATTCAATCAATAAATACACTAAAAAATGTTCACCATCTCTAGCAATCAGAGAAATGCAAATTAAAACTACTCTAAGATACCATCTCACTCCAGTAAGAATGGCAGCCATTATGAAGTCAAACAATACCAAGTGCTGGCGAGGATGTTGGGAAAAATGTACACTTGTATATTGCTGGTAGGACTGCAAATTGGTGCAGCCAATTTGGAAAGCAGAATGGAGATTCCTTGGAAAGCTGGGAATGGAACCACCATTTGACCCAGCTATTCCCCTTGGACTATACCCTAAAGACCTAAAAAGAGCATACTACAGGGACACAGCCACATCAATGTTTATAGCAGCACAATTCACAATAGCTAGACTGTGGAACCAACCTAGATGCCCTTCAATAGATGAATGGATAAAAAAATGTGGCATTTTTACACAATGGAGTATTACGCAACACTAAAAAAAATAATAAGATCATGGCATTTGCAGGGAAATGGATGACATTAGAGCAGTTGCTAAGTGAATTTAGCCAATTTCTAAAAAACAAATGCTGAATGTCTTCTCTGATATAAGGGGGGGGTGACTCAAAATAGAGTAGGGAGGAAGAGCATGAGAAGATGATTACCACTAAATAGGGAAGAAAGGTGGGAGGGAATAGGGGGGAGAAGGGGAATTGCACAGAAGATGGAAGGAGACCCTCATTGTTATACAAAATACATGTATGATGATATGAGGGGGAAGGAAGAAAAAAAAGAGAGAAATGTGTCAGAGTAGATTGGGTAGAGAGAGGTGATGGGAGGGGAGGGGAGGGGAGGGGGGATAGGAAGGGTAGTAGAATAAAATAGACATTAGTATTGCTGTATGTATATACTCGGCCATATAACCAATGTGATTCTGCAATCTGTACACGTGGAAAAATGAGAATTCATACCCCATTTGAATCAAATGTATGATATGTCAAGATCATTGCATTGTCATGAGCATCTAATAAAAAAGAAAAGTTTATCATTCTCTAAGTGGCTTTCTTTTAACATCTTTACAGTACATGCTACATAAAATGATAGAGAAATATAATACTGCAAGCACTGTAATCATATGGACTTGATTTAAATTCAAGTTTTGCTAGTAGTTATGTGAGCATAGGCAAGTTTGAGATTTTTGTGCCATTAATTTATCAAATTTTAAAGTGGGAATAATATCATAGACTTTATCTTAGATAATATGTAAAAATCCTGTGACATAGTGTCTGACACATAAAAAAGGTCAACAAATGGAATTATAAAATTGGTTCTTTTGACATTAATTATATATGTAAAATACTAATATCATAATGATTCCATTAATATTAATACTGAACTAAGGAGAATGATATGTTACTGATTTGCATTTAAAAATGCTATGGTTATTTTACTTAATCAAATTCTTTTAAGATTATAGTTATATCTTGATATCCTTGACAGGTTGGTTCTTAGATCCCCATAGATCACAAAGTGCTTGGATGCTTAAGTTCCTTCCATATAATGGTGTGAATTTGCATGTAATCTCTGTACATTCTTCCAAACACTTTAAAACATCTCTTTTACTCTATTAGTATACTGTATTCTTTAGGGAATAATGATAAGAAAATCTGTACATTCAGTACAGATAGAATTAAAACATTTTTTGAACTGCTGTTGGATGATCCATGGATATATAACTCATATATGGAGAGTCAACTGTATTTATAATTTGATTTTAGATGACATCAACTATATGAGTTGTAATAGTTATTTCATTTAGATACAATAAGATGGAATATTCTACATAAAGTTTGGAGACAATGTTCTGTGGCCAATATTAATGTTAATTAATATTAATACTGAACTAAGGAGAATAATATGTTACTGATTTGCATTTAAAATATAATGCATTAAAAACCAATGTCCTGTGGTTCAAATGTTAACTTTATGATTTACTAAAATCATAGCCTCAGTTTCTTCTCTGGAAAAAAAGAAGATTTGGATTAATAATAACAATCTTAAAGAGTTGTTATGAAAATAAAATAATGTGAAAGTTTTTTAACCTCTGAGGAATAATGCAAAGATGAATGACTGTATTTTTGTTATTTTAACCATATTAGTAGGGTTTAATGCTATGTCTTTTAGTCAGAGTAAAGGAAATGAAAATAAGGTAATTAAATGAAATTTCAACAAACAAAAACTCATATTAGAACAAGCAGATAAAATTTCTAGAAGAAAAATTTATGAAGACCTATTTAATAAAATTAATAGTTTATTTCAGAGTGAGACAATGCTTAAGCCTGTAACCAGCACAAAAAATAAAAAATGAAACAGATTTTCTATATTTTTCATAAAAAACAGGCAAATTTCCATTCCCATATGTACCAACCTTTTTTTCTTTTTTGTTAAATAACATTCTAAATAATATAATATACAAAATAGAAAAAAATAACCCCAGAAACTATCTTCATTTACATTATTACAATCTTAAGAGGTCTACATGAGTGACAACTGAATGTTTTAAAAATATTTTCATGATAAAAAGAAAAGAAAACATTACATATTTTATTGTGTAATGATTTATAAAACAATTTTATAAAATGATTATTAACAAACAAAATGTTGAATGCTGCCAACAGAACTGTATGGTGATTTTTAAGAAAGCCTTTTTGGAAAGCTATTAAATACTTCCATCTAGTTGACTTGCATTATTTATGGATTGGTTGGTATAATGTTCAGCCAAATGAATGTAACAAAACTTAAAATTGTTGGCTTTTGCCTACCGTACCAAGATCAGCTTTAAGATCTGTTGGCAGACTTAACTTTCTTGATCCTTTAACTGAAACAACAGAAAAAGGAAAAAGGCAGTTGTTAATTATATAAAATTAAAGAGGAATGAGGGGAATAGTATGTTTATTGTATAATTATTAATATTTTGATGAATATTATACTAAGTGAACATGCACGGAAGCAAATATTGTTCCAGTATTAGTTGGATTGCCATTCAGCAGTAAAATTTTAATATGCAACAGAAACATGAGAAAAGCAATTGTTCTTACAGTAAATAGTGAATATCTTTATAGTTTCTCTCACATGTGGTGTGAGATGTAATTTCATATTTAATTTTAGACATATCTAATAGGTAAAGAGATATTGCAACAAATGAATAAGATTATATCACAAATGATGATGAAGAGAGTGAAAACTGATGTGCATCTCCTGTATTACATGTTAATACATTTTGTTATACTGGACTTTTTACTTTATTATCCATTAAAATTCCAAAATTTTGAATTTTCTAAGATAGCTACTATATATGCAATATCTAATCAATTATTGGTAGAGTAGGTATACAATAAGTGTTTGCTGAATGAATGTTGAGCAGTGAAAGCTGAAAAGTAGTAGTCAATTTTATTCTAAGGAAGGTTGAGCAGAGGAAGGAAATATATTCAAGATTTAGAAAGTAAGGAACAAGAAGTATTGGAAATGTGTTCAGAATACTTATTAATATTTGTGCCTGAAAGTGGCACTAAGTATCTTTGAGCACTTTACAATCTGGCATATGAGAGTGATAATCAGTTAGTTTCTCTTCATTGCTCTAGATGTTAGAACTAAGACAAATTGGCAAATGGTAAGGAAAGTAGACTGAGTTTGAATAGAAGGAAATTGTTGCAATGAGCCCATGAAAATGCAGCTTTCCAAATTTTATTTTGTTACTGCTAACTAAGCAAAAGCATACACACCAGTCTCATTTCATAATGTTAGCCAAAGAAGAAAAAATGGAAATAGAAACATCTATTGGCTTAGCAATCTGCATAGGAAAGAGAGCTGAAGAATCCTGGCTCAAAGGAATCTTAGAGGTCATGTAGTCCAATATCCTATAAGCAAGTATTTCTCCTACAATATTCTTGACATTCTATCTGTTTGACTAATCCCATTGTATAAATCTTCAAAGATAAAAACATTTTAATTATGATTTTGAGTCACTAAAATTGCTATAAAATTTCCTTCTATTTTTGCTCAAACTTCTTTTCTATACCATTTATCAATCTGTCAGAGTTCTAACTTTTAGAGCAGTGAAGAGTAACTGATTCCTGCTCTCACATACCAGCACCTGAAGAGGAAATTTGTCTTTTAAGAAGTGTTACATGCTACACTGATATCAAGAGGTTGGAAGATCACATTTTGAGCAACAACATTTTAACATTTCATGAATATTAATCAACTATAGTACTTCTACCTGGTTCCCTTCTACAAGAAGCATTTTCCACAAACAAGAAGGCATATTGTCTTTAGTTGTTCAATTGGATGTAAATATGGATATTGATACAGAAATGGATAGGATAGCTATATCACTTTTCTGGGTTTCAAAAAGTGTTTATGATTACATTTTCTCAAGTTAATGTGTTTTTCTGGCTCTTTTCTTGATTAATTTAAAAATTTCCCTCATAATCTCTGATCTACCAGGAATAGAAGCTGGTAGTTATAAAAATAATAGAAGTATATATTACTGTAATTTTTTTGCTCTATACAATAGAACTTCCTAAGATTCCACTGTCTTTTCCAGAGTGACACATATTTGATTCATAATGAAAAAGCTTCCTTAAGTCACACTGAGCAATCTCATGTAGGATGATTTTTAAAAATCTTTCACACCTTGAATAACTGCCTGTCTTGGCTCACAGAAAATAATACAGCAAATCATATCAAACATCTAGCTGAGGTCAGTGAATGTTGTTTTTAAGCACAAATTAGACTTAACAACAGTTTCATTTCTTATGATCCTAGTCCTGTTAGATTCTGGACACATTGTCAGGAAATTATTATTATTTTAACATAATGTGACATAGTTTTGAAAATAAAAATAAAATTATAGATAAGGGAAATCAAGTTAATCAAATTATTCATTTAAAAAGGTGAGATTTATTCCATGTAATTTGAATCTCAATAAATCTGACTTTTAAAAAATTCGAAGGAAAGCATCCCCACAGATAGGATTAATCACTTACCTAATCACATCTATCAATTTATGACTTACCTAGAAATTTTAAAGATGATATGGGAGACAAAAGATGATGCAAATGAGGGAAAGGACTGGCCTATAGCAATATACAAATTAACATTATCTATAAACTCAGGCCTAAAGATCAGATGAGACCAGGCTCCACAATGCCACCAGATTATAAATCTTTGCAAAACTATTCATATCTATTCTTATGTTCATGCCTCACAAATTTAGGTTCAATTATAGTAAGGAGGCAGGGTAAATAGTTTGATGGCTTACATAGCCTATTCCAGGATGAGGTTTTATGCATACCCTAAATATGAACAGAACTGCAGACATTACGACATAATTTTGCCAAGATGTCTTCATGTATCTTGATTGTATCAAATCCCTCACTTATTAATTCACAGACAATGGAGAGTGCAACTTGGTTTATAAAGAATGTCATACTGGCTTCAAACAGGTCTTAATCAGATCCTTGGTTCTATGCCTGAATCAAAATTTTAGGAATGGGTTAAACCCTTTCTCAAAATGTGAACATGGCTACTAGTTTAATGGGAAAAGCATAGAGATTAGAAATCTCTAATTCAAAGTTACTGATTGGTTGTTTCTTAACTGAATTTATTTTTTTATCTTCAGTAGAAGGATTTCTACCTTTCTATGGCTAAGTTACAACTATATTTGGAAGTCTAGAATGGTCAAGGGGAATAAACAAAGTCTGTTTAGCCATGGGTTTTAGGTCATGGGTATTCACCTTAAGTTTCCTTAGGCCTTGCATGTTTACCACTGCTTTTATAATAACCACTACCATGTGTTATTGAGCATCTATGTTCTGGGTCCTAGCAATCATTTAAGGTTAAGCAATTTGCTAAAGTTATTATAATAGAAATATAGAAGGTGACAGGTTAAGGTTATTCATTTCTGCTAAAGCCATGCCTAAGCAACACAGTCTTCATGACACAGAAGATACCACCTATATGGTCTAGGTATCTTCTTTAAAATAAATAAATCTAATTTAAAATTAAAAGTTTTTGATTAAAAGGTTTTAATTAAAACATATTATTAAAATTCATTTTATGTATGAATTTATTTATGGATTAATTAATCAACTAGCTGGAATATAGTAATGAATTTCATTTGTCTCTATCTTCACTAAGCCAGAAACAAATAGAGCAAACACATCTGTTATGTATACAGGCAAAGTTAAAAAATAAAGCATTTTGGGATCAACATGCTATGGTGAAGCCCTGAAAGGACTACATGATTCTAATTTTGTTGGCATCCCTCCTTTTTTAAAACATTTTTTCTGAAAGTGGCTAAGATAAAGCTGGGCAAAGAGATATTGTCATCTGAATTTGCTTCAGCATAAACTTGTTAATTTCATGACTCTATCATTACTTTAAAATATATAATTATATTTAGACAGTGTTAATGAATCAATAATTATATCAGTGATTATGAAACTTTATGTTTAACTTGATATCTATCCTCAATTATAAACTTACAGAGATAAATGAGTTTTTCAACCCATGTTTTTAAAAACATACAAGGCTTATTAATTTGAGACCAAACAATTAGAGGAACTTAAAGAATAATATTTGGATTCAGACTAAGTCATTATTAAAGAGTAACCTTGGGCAAATTACAGAAATTTTCCCTTAATCAATTTTTCCACCCCCTAAAATGAGAACAATATCAACCTTTTGGGGTTGTTGTAAGGATTAAATAAGATGATAGACATAAAAAATACATTGTTTGTTCTAAAGTACTGTATAAATATAGATTATAGTTTTTAAGCCGTGTTTAATAAGTCTAAAATGTGATAAAATGTTGATTATATGAACTATAAAAAACTAAAAATGATTTTCAAAATTAATTTTTCCTAGAACGTAAGTGGTAAGCTATTTTCTGCTAATGTTTCATAAGTATTTTTAAAATTCTTATGAATTTCTTTGTTTAAAACATTGTTTCTTCATGACTCAGCTACTTCTTTCTTATGGCACAGATGTTATTCATAGTGAATAGTTTTTTTTATTCTCATAATGTTTATTCTCATTTAATGAATGAGTACCAGCAAAAAAATAGGTTTTATAACCAAATATATCTTTGAATTCTACCTCTATTCACTTAAAATCTCTAAGCTTTAGCTTTCTTTTGAAAGGTATATCCAGGGTGTTATACTACAGAAACAAAAGAAAATTACTACTGGGAAAATTAAATTGTTAATAACATTTATCTTTATCTTCATTGGCTATTGACTTTGAGTTCTACAACATAAATAATTCCTTAAAGTTGCAAATCTGGAAACACCATTTTTCCATGAAGGCCTAATTTAAGAAGGATGTACCATTTGTGTTTGTGTTTGTTTGGTCCCAATAAGCAGCATCAAATGTCAATGATTGTGCATAAAATTGAGATTCTAGAACTTTCTAAAGGGACAAGTCTTTGGTGGAGTTTCCATGATTACCACAGGTGTTGCTGATTATAGAAAACATTTCATTGTATTATAAAGAATTATGGATAATTTTTAAAATCTCAGTATTTTTGAGCTCTTAATTTTCTCTGAATTTTCTGTTTACCCCTCCTTATTTTTTTTATAGGCTTGGTGAGATCATTCAGATTTTGAGTGGGGAAAAAAACCCAGCAAAATCCTATGGAATATTTCAAAACCTTTCACAAAAGTTGTAGTTCTTTCTAGTTTATACATTGTGTAATCATCATCTCTGTTTTAAACATCTGCTTCAGGTACTCTGTCTTCATTTACCATGACAGATTGTTTTCAGCAAAATAAATGAGAAAATCTTGAGAAAAAAATTAAAATTAAAAAATTTATAAAATTGTGGAGACACAAATATTTTATTTGTTCATAAAAAAATTTTTCACCTTCACCTGGCAAGTGATGTACTTGATTCCTCTGTCTCACAGCTGGTATTTCATTCCTATAAAAGCCTGCTGCTGCCTCAGGAGTTCTGGTAGCAAGTCCTAAAGAAGGGAACACAAAACTATTGGCATGTAATTTCTTAGTGAAATTTCAAGTGAATTAATAATTTTTGCCTTAAAGGTAACTACATGGAAAGGTCTCTGTTTGTTCCTTTATCTAAAATAAACAGGTACTGAACACAACAGACTGTTTGTAAGGAAGAACAAAATTCTTTGGTGAAAGTAGTGGATGTTAGACACAAAGAATTGCACAGAAGGAACAGTCAAATGCGGCCTTAAGATCCAGCTCTTCATTTGACAAAATAGAGCACACCTTCATGTTCAAAACACTAGAAAAACTAGGGATAGCAGGAACAAACTTCAACATTGTAAAAGCTATATATGCTAAGTCCAAGGCCCCTCTGGGAAAGCATTAATCTCTAGGATATATAAAGAACTCAAAAAACTTAACACCAAAAAAAGCCAAATAATCCAATCAATAAGTGGGCTGAGAAACTGAACAGACACTTCATTCTAAATGGAGAAAAAATGAAAGCATTTCTTCTAAAAACTGGAACAAGACAAGGATGCCCTCTTCCACCACTTCTATTCAACATCATATTTTAAACTCTAGCCAGAGCAATTAGACAAAAGAAAGAATTAAAGGGATATAAATAGGTAAAGAAGAACTCAAACTATCACTATATGCTGATGACATGATTCTATATCAGAAGATCCAAAAAATTCCACCAGAAAACTTCTACAACTAATAAATGAATTCAGCAAAGTAGCAGGATATAAAACCAACACCCATAAATCAAATACATTCCTATACATGAGCAATGAATCCACTGAAAGAGAAATTAGGAAAACTACCACATTCACAGTAGCCTCAAAAAAAAAAAAAAAAAAGAAAAAGAAAAAAACTGGAATCAATCTAACAAAAGAGTGAAAGACCTCTACAATGAAAACTACAGAACACTAAAGAAAGAAATTGAAGACAATCTCAGAAGATGGAAAGATCTCCCTGCTCCTGGATAGGCAGAATTAATATTGTCAAAATAGCCATACTACCAAAAGCATTATACAGATTTAATGCAATTCCTATTAAAGTCCCAATGACATTCTTCATAGAAATAGAAAAAGCAATCATAAAATTTATTTGGAAAAATAAGAGACCCAGAATAGCTAAAGCAATCCTTAGCAAGAAAACTGAAGCAGGAGACATCACAATACCAGACCTTAAACTATACTACAGAGCTATAGTAACAAAAACAGCATGGTATTGGCACCAAAATAGACTTATAGACCAATAGTAAAGAATAGAGGACACATAGAGAAACCCATATAAAGACAGTTATGTCATACAAAGGTGCCAAAAACATTCACTGGAGAAAAGATAGCCTCTTCAACAAATGGTGCTAGCAAAACTGGAAATTCATATGTAACAAAACGAAATTAAATCTCTCTCTCTCTCATCCTTCACAATAATCAACTCAAAGTAGATCAAAGACTTAGGCACCAGAACAGAGACCGTGCATCTAATACAAGAAAAAATAGGCCCAAATCTTCGCCATGGATCTGACTTCCTTTACAAGACTCCTAAAGCGCAAGAAGTAAAATCAAGAATCAATAAATGGGATGGATTCAAATTAAAAAGCTTCTTCTCTGCAAAGAAAACAATTAATAATGTGAGGAGAGAGCCTACAGATTGGGAGAAAATCTTTACCACATGCCCCTCTGGGAAAGCATTAATCTCTAGGATATATAAAGAACTCAAAAAACTTAACACCAAAAAAGAGCCAAATAATCCAATCAATAAGTGGGCTGAGAAACTGAACAGACACTTCACAGAAGAATAAATACAATCGATCAACAAATATATGAAAAAGTGTTCAACATCTCTAGCAATTAGAGAAATATAAATCAAAACTACACAAATACTTCATCTCACACCTGTCAGAATGGCAATCATCAAGAACACAGGCAACAATAAATGTTGGTGAGAATGTGGGTAAAAAGGTACACTCATACATTGCTGGTGGGACTGAAAACTGGTGCAACCACTATGAAAAGCAGTATGGAGATCCTCAGAAAACTGGAAAAGAAACTACCATTTGACCTAGCTATCCCACTCCTTGGTTTATACTCATACTCAAAGGGCTTAAAATCAGCATACTACAGTAATTCAGCCACATCAATGTCTATAGCAGTTCAATTCACAATAGCTAAACTATTGAACCAACATAGGTGTCCCTCAATAGATGAATGGATACAGAAAATGTGGTGTGTGTATGTGTGTATGTATACACTCAATGGAATATTACTCAGCTTTAAAGAAGAGTATAATTATGCCATTTGCCAGTAAATGGATGGAAGTTGGAGAATATCATGCTAAGCAAAATAGGCCAATCCCACAAACCCAAAGGCCAAATGTTTTCTCTAATAAGGCAAGGGGCACTAGAGAAGAATAGCATTACCTTAGATTAGGTAGAAGGAAGTGATGGAAGGGGAGGGGAGAGGATGTGGGGATAGGAAAGACAATAGAATGAAACAGAATTATTATTTTATGTATGTGACTACATGACCAATATGATTCTGCAACATGTACACTAAGAAAAATGAGAAATTATATCTCACCAATGTATGATATATCAAAGTGCATAAATGCATTCTACTGTCATGTATAACTAATTAAAACAAATAAAAAATTAATAAAGAATTAAAAAAATCCAGCTCTCACCTATACCCAAAACATAAGCTGGGTACTCTGTTGTTAGTATTCTGTGATGCTAACCTTTTGATATTTTATTTGTATTTAAATATTTCTGTTACCCAAGGCTTCATTTGAACTTGGTAGCTAAATAAGCCTATTGTAGATTAGACTGAGAATTATGACGATGGATGTTAAAGGTAGTAGCATGTCAGGGCCTGATGCTGTCTTAGAAAATGATGTTCTTCTGGGAAAAGTATTAGGAAAAAAGGCTCACCTTCTGGGATAACACAATCCTACAGGTGAAGGTCAGGTTAATTTTCAACTCTCTCCAAAATAGGGGCTATTTTCTTTAATCAATTGAATTTATGTGCCCAGCAAGGAGAAATAGGGTTCAATGTTAGTACCTGTTTACCATGTTGTAATGCAAGTTTGTATAGAACACAAATTGCACAACATGACCTCATAAAGATTGCATAGCTTAAAAAAGTATTAACAAGTTCAATAATTATTAATGCAAAGCTTATACTGACAAATAGACTATTCATTTGTGATAAAGTATGTTTATTTTTTACATTGATTTATCCTAGTGGGTAGCATAATGTCTAACTGTAGAAACTGAAAATTATTTGTTGAATACTTGAGTAAATGAATAAATAATATGAAATTAGAATGTTATCCGGAAAGCTGAGCATTTCAGCATTCTACTTGGCTCACTGGATTCTTTCAGCCCCCAACTCTTTTCTGTTCTCTTTCATTATCCTCAAGGGAATAATTAAGGGTCTAAACCTTCAATCTATATTACCTATAGTATATTGGGGTTATTAAAAGAGTTTCATATCCAGATGGAAATTAGAGCTTAAAATGATTATTGGTTTCTGGCTTCCCTAATCCCCAACTTCTCTTATTCAGAAACACTTGCATCAGGTTGTCATAAATTTTATTTTTTTAAAATTTTTTTTAGGAGGGGAGGGGAAGGGGGATATGAAGGGCAGCAGAATAGAATAGACATGATTGCTGTATATATATAGGTGACTCTATGATCAGTGTGATTCTGCAATCTGTACAATCAGAAAAATGAGAAATTATACCCCAATTGATTCAAATGTATGAATTGTCAAGATCATTGTAATGTCATGTGTAGCTAATAAAAAAATTTTTAGTTATCAATGGACCTTTATTTTATTTATTTATATGTGTGCAGAACTGAACCCAGTGCCTCACATATGCTAGGCAAGTGCTCTATAGCTCTGTAACCAGTTTTTAGTAGATTCAAATGGGTGGAGGGCTAAGATCCCCAAAAAGATTTGAATAAGGGAGGTTAACTACTGAAAAAATTAATTAAAAAAAATTCATAGGCAATGGTTCTCAAGTAATCCAGAGACTAGAAGCATATAATTATAATGCACCAATGAAAAAATGGAAAGAATTTAAAAAGAGATACCATAATAAAATTAAAAATTAAATTATGCTAGACAAATAATAGTACAATAGCATGAACAGGAATAGGTTCTGAAAAAGTTATCCCTCAATACTACCACTCCATCAATTGCTTTTCCTTTATGTTTCCTCACAGACCTTTCCACAGGAAGATCCTACTTTTATCTAATACATTCTTGGCAGAGTTATGTGATCGAAGCACATGAAATTTTCAGTATATGAGCATTTTTCAATAAAAGTGAGGATTTGATATGTTTTTTTTTTAAAAAAAAAAACATCATCTGAGATCTTGCTAGAAGTGCAAATCTTAGGCCTCACCCAGATCTACTGAATGAGAATCTCTGGCATTCAGCTATCTGTGTTTTAACACTCTTCACATGAGTGTGATGCAGGCCATTGAACTAGAGAAAAACAAAATAAAAGTAAGTAAGAAAAGGCAATAAGAGTATTGGCCTTTTAGTACTATTTATACATTTAAAAAGATACAAACATAACAATTGCCATTGTCAGTATTGAAGTGATAATTGAATCTTATCATTGTACATCAATTCTGCCTCCAGGTAACATAATGAAAAGTAGTTAAAACTTTCCTGCTTTGAAGCAGAATTCTTGACTGCATCAGAGTTCCTATGAGTCTACCTTGAAAAGGAAGTGTGGTGGTGGTGATGTTTCCAGATCTCCTTTAATCTTAGAAAAAACATCATAGGTAGAGGGGTAAAAGCAGGATGTCTACTAAAAATTAAACTAGTTTTAATAATTGGTTATTAAATATAAAAAGCCTTATCCCTAAAACCAGGAACAAGAAAAATATGTTGCTAACAATACATCTATTCAACATTGCATGAAGTTCCTATCCAATATCCTCCTTTAAAAAGAAAAAAAAAAGAGCTGCTATTTTCACTGGGGATAT